AAGCTTACTTCGGTTCAGTAACTGGATTCCTTGAAAGCGATTTCAGCATTGAATGCGTTATAAAGAGATCTGAAAAATGTGAACATATCGTGGGAAATTTCATCATTTTTAGATTTTTAGTATTCCAATCAAACTTTTTTACGAGGCGCATGACAATCTAGATGAAATTTAAAGAAATTATGCTTTACGTTACACACCTTCAGCTTTTAATATTCAGTTGAATGTATATTCGATAGGTGTAAGCGATAATGATAACATATTAGCAGAATTATTGTTTGTAAGAAATATTTTTCACTGTATCAAAAATCCTCGATATTTGTAGAAAAAGCAGTATCATCGAACTTTTTTTTGAAAAATCATCAAATATTGAGGTAAGATTGAACCGATAGCATGATATAATTGCTCAGAAATGTTACTCTTACGTTTGAACCAACACTTTACTCTTCAATGTTTTTAGAAATCCATATTAGTTAAGGCAAGAGATATGGCAAGCATTTTTACATCGAATCAGCTTAGAACATAATATTCAATACTGTCATCATCGATATGGGGAGTTTGATGAAAGAGTGCGATTGAAACCTGAGGTTGAGAAGAGAGCGAGTCGAGTACCAAAACGTTCGACCACATTCGTCGAGATTATCGACGCAGTATGTGGAAACATCTCATCAGCTATTATCAAATCCCAACTNATTCTTCATACGATACTTCAATCAAACTCGACAGTATGTGGATGCACATACATTTTTACGCAAAAACACTTTTTAAATAGATTCACTTGAATCCCACATATATCGCGAGAAATCATCACTTAAGGCAATTCGTTATTGATTTTGATGCCTTGTCAACCTAGATCTCATCAAGTGATCAAAATGGTCAATCGATCAAATTAACCTTATCACGTGATCAACTTTTATCAGTTATCTAAATGCTATCAGTTGTGTCTGATCAAGTTCATCACAGCATACTAAATTTGATATTATCGCAAGGTTTTCAACACTTTATCAGCGAAAAATCATCGCAATGGAATGTTTTTCATTAAAAGAAAGAACTTCATTATGCCACTTACTAGAGTTAATTGTATGGGAAAAGAAGAAGCGTGCATGTTGGAACATTATCTCGAATCTGTCCGGTTTGCAGTCCACAAACCACGTTACTCGAAACAGCTCGCGAATTTGTTTGGCGAGTGAATTTGGTGACTTAACTTGCACATTATCCACTGCACCGTTCAGTTCGAAGCCCGGCTCGAGCACTTCAGAAAACACGGTCACCCGATGACCATCATGAGCGAGGCTAAATGATAAACATCACTGACTAATCCTGGTGGATTTCGTGCAACAATTGAGAGGANGCAGCATGACACGGCATTGAAATTGAGAGTAAAATCAGCAAGCAGAATTCATACAGAATAGCCATCCGAGTCTGCTCTATAAAACACCTTAAATTGCTTGAAAAAACGTTGGGTAAAAAGCAGGATCTTTGCACTGAGAAGCATTCAGACTTCAATCCACAGTGATTAAGCAGTAGCGATCTATTAAATACTTTCTGGTGAATAAGCTATAGGCAATGTGAAACTGACTGATTCACAGTCAAGCAAATAAATGCCGTTGAGACCGCACTTGAGACGGTTCGACTGAGTAGCACGGCAATAAATTATTGCGATGATGATAAGCAAAAAGTGCGCTTTATGATGCACTTTCTCAATAGTTTTCCTTTCTTAAGGTGATCATTCTCATTTAGAGAACGTTTGCTAATGAACATATCACGTGAACATGATGCATAGATTGTATGTGGATACAAGTATAAATTGAAACATTTCTATGAATTCAGCAGTGATCACGTTATCTTCATGCAAGAACTCTTGACCTAACTGAATTTAATGAAGTCAGCAGCGAGCAGTTCATCAAGCAGTTCAAATTTATTAACTTTCAGCTATGCAGCAGGCCAGCTTATAAGCAGATTCGTCAGAAACATGCTGAGATGATGGGAGACAAAATGGAAACGTTTCATAATTTTCATTATCAATGAACACTGAACTTATATGCATCCAAGTCAGACGTATCAAGATCCTTGTATGGATACATGTAAACAAAACTATTTGCGTATCACCTACACGGAAGAAAATTATATGAGAGTTCATTTCGTGCGCAATAAATGTATGACATGATAACTACGAGTGAAATGCTTCATATTCAGAATCTTTCTTAAATTCACAAGTACAAAAGGATCAAAATGCTCAGTATGACAGCATAATTTCAGCCAAATAGGTAGGCATCTGAGCGCTGTTAACGTTCTCCAAGAATTAAGCGAATAATAAGATGGAGGCAGTTTGCAACAAGATATGTTGATTCGAGTGCCTAGCAAACTAGGATCTGAGTGAGGAGTTCTTGTCAATGATAGCGTTCGATGCCACATGATAAGACGGAACTATCAACGGAAATCATTATCAACCTATCACTCATATACTGCTATCTTCTTATCAATTTCTTATGCCATCTTCGGATGTTTTTCTTCTGATTGCGCATAACTTTTTGTTTATCCTAAGTATAAGTTTAAGCGAACTTATATCTTATAAGTCAGCACATCAATATAATTTTGTTTGCATAGAAGGTGTAATTTCCCTTCGGTCAGGGTTGAATTCTAACTTCATAACTTCTTTAAAACGTTGATTACTGTTGGAACAACTTTACAACTGATTTGATTTGCTTCCTTAAAGTTCTCGGCAACAACTTCTTCAATATTTCAATCACTTGATGGTTCAGAAGTTAATTTTCACTATGAAATGTTTCGAATGTTCAAAAATCCTCAAAATCCAGATGTACAAGTATCATATTTTACTTTCGACTGAAATACCACAGGAATTGATCTCGCTGAAACGATCGATGTGCAGCTCGATGAAATCAATTCATTCAGATTTGTCAATTTGTTTCATTTGTCTTCTTTTTTTTCAACTCATCATTTTGCAGCTCTGAAATGATAATTCCTTGCTGAATTTCATGAATCATTGGAAGAAGATCGGTTGGGTTCATGGTGAAACGTGAAAGAAATGCTTGAAGTCTTGAGACATCAGTCAAGTGCTTTTCTCGGTCTTGAACCGAACGTTCTGATTAACAATCCGCAATGTACGGGTCGCTTACAAAGCAACGAATGAAATTTTCACATCACACATGATGATATTACGCAATATTTACAATTACGCAACCGGTCGTGCTTTTCTAACGAATTTATACTCGATCAGATAAGTGTCCACTGTCATGATTTTCTTCTGAAAGGTCTCCTTATAATTTAAAGAGCTTCTCCTAATGATCAGAAGTTCCGTCGAAAATTTCCTTGTTTATCGACCGTTGTCCCCAAATCTTGATTGTAATCAGTCGTCCAAATAACTTGTAGCTCATTGATGTGACGAGATAAGTGTTTCATTGAATGAATTTAATTTGCATATTTCACTACTCTATTTGTTGAGTGAGTAATAATCCACGTAAGAAATTCTTCCAAAACAATGATTCCATTCAACCAAATTCTATTGGTTTCGCTCATTTTCAGTTAGCACCACTCTCGTGACGAGTTGCAATCATTTGGTCAACGTTGTCGTGTTACTCTTCAATCTCCACTTCTATCGACTCTGTCAATCGAATTTTTTTGTTGGGAATTCAGGTCTGATGAATGTTCATCGGTTTGTCGGAGTGTTCTTTCTACCGTATCCGGTTTTTTCGGTTGAATTTGGCGCTTTTGAGAGTAAAATCTTGAAACGAAGGCAATGAACGAACGATGTGTGATGAGATTGTGATGTTACCGATGTGCGATGCGAGCAGCGCTGGTTGTAGAGCACAGCATATTTTAGTGATGGTGATCGCTTTTAGAGAATTCTGCATTGAGAGCATACGGACA